AAAAATATCCAAGTAATAATAATAATAATAATAATAAATAAATAATGGTTTCTCTCTTTTCCCTTGAAATAATATGTGGAATCAATAACATATATAAGAATTGGACTGATGTTTATTTCCGTTGACATTTCACCAATATTAAATTAGAAAATTACTCCAATTAATGATACTTGGCATTCGGTATGGATCGAGCCATGTGCATTTACTCAATGGCAAATGTAATCCTTTTTCACTTTATCATAATAGGGGCCAGGAAGGCAGGAAGGGTACATAGGCTGATTACTGACAGGCGGAGTGGGGAATCTAGCTAGGAAAAATAAATAGAGGGGGAACCAAAATTGGATAAACTATATTCTATAATATTCAATCTTTTCCTAAGACCATGTTCCAATAATCATAAGTGTTAGAGACCCACATGACAAGGAGGAAGAGTTCCTGTGATTGTCAAAGTGAAAAATCAGGCGGAAGGCATGTGAGGGCACAGCACGTCAGTGTTTAGTATGCCAGCTCTCGGTGGTTGTCTTGTCTGTTTGGCGAGACATGGCAAAGGGGAGGAGTTTCAAAGGGAAAATTAATTCACCCTGGAGGAAAGTGCCAAAGTTCCTGGTTATTGATGATGTTCATTTCGTCAGTCCCTTTTTGCACCTTTTTGGGGTGGATAATTGCGCAAGAGAAACGGAGATCTGGATCCAAATGCACATGTCAACGTGGGTTGGAAATTGGAACACTCTTCGTGAGGTTGTGTTCCTTTTATATTAATTGATTGAAACCAAACGTGTACTGTACCTTCACAAAAACACAAAACTAAACCCCATGCAGTTTCGATTAATAACGTTATTCTTGTACTTGATTTTCGTTCATTTCGAAACTATGAAAGGTCGAAGGATAGTCGAAGACCTTATTAGGATGGCCTTTTTTTTTTTCTTTGGGTTTGTCTATCTGTGCCTTTTTTCTTAATAATTGTTATTAAAAAATTAATTTTAATAATTATCTAATAACGTTAAAAATAAAATAAGATTTTGTGTTTTTTTATATATATTAATAAAAAAAATACAAATATTGTATTTTTAAGTCATAAGTTAGATAGATTAAATTATTAAAAAAAAAAAAACAGAGATAATTGAGGGGGTGATGAGGATGGGAAATTAAGCCCAGCTGGCAACGCCACAACCTTTTTTCTTTTAAACCATCGTCAAAGCCCAGCCACTTGAGCTGCATAAAAGCCCAAAAGCCCGTATACGGATGGCTGTTTTGCAGTAAGCCTTGCCAAATGGGTTCCGCATGCCTAATCATTTTTCAAGCCCACATTAGCCCAAGTTAAACTCTTTTGGCCCATTCAGTGTTGAAAAGAGAAAGAACCCTGATCTTCTACGTCCATGAGGAAGCATTGAAGATGAGAGTCTAACTTGTTCTTCAATTACATTTCATGCTGTATGAAGACATAGGTGCAAAGTTTAGTGGACATTTCCGACAAACAAATTGAAGAAGGCGACAAGGATGGATGTAACTTGAAGCAAACAAGGGCTCAAGTCATAATGGTAAACCATTGATGTAGCTGCCCATTTCCTCCACTGCCTTAATTGGCAAGCAACACAACATCTATGAGCAGAATTTGGCTTAATTCTCAATCTCATCTGTGAGGCAAAATGCAGAACCTGCAATTATAGATAGACATAATTAACATTTAATTCTGAGAAATGACATTTTGGTTCTAGTCATTCATGGTGGATAGAGCTCTCTCTCCAGTCCAGCTATTTATAAAAAGAATGGAATTTCAATAGCCTAGCTATTGTCACATGGCCCACAACTAACATACAAGTTTGATTTTGCTGATGAATTAGCTAAGTCCTAAAATGGGCAAAATGCAAATGCAGCACACATGTGCCTCATAAATTAAAACCAGTTTTGGGCAGATTCCTATCTAGTCTATATGATTTAATTGAGCCCTTTCAAGGTATTTACTTTGAAACAGTAGTTAAGTTAATTGATTGTTAGTTTTGTCAAATATCATCAGAGTGCGGAATGAGGGGATCTTATAAACAAAGGCCGGAGTAGTAGTCTTATGGATGGCTTTTGAATGAGAAAAGAAAAGCAAATGAGTGTCAAGTAGTGGTGCATGGAGCTAGAGTGTGAGATATGATTCGGAATTTGCTTGCTCTTGAAACTTGGAACCTCTCTTTTTGTTGTCTAGGGATTGAGTAAAGTTCAATACATGTAAAACCAAGAGATATAGTCAATAATTCGTGGAAGCATGAAACATGGATTTCATCTGAAGTGCAGGCATGATAAGGTCAATGGTCCCTTGGTCCAACACTATGATCCAACAACAATTGGGTAATTAGTTCTTCCTTTACATAACAATGTTTTTATTAGACGTCTTTCACATGCTATGATAATAATAATTATTATATTAGTTTATACAATATGATGAAACATTAAATTAGTAGATTTTAATTCTTAGTATTATTTTTTATTAATTTTTTATTAATTTATTCTTTTAAGACACAAATTAAAGGTACATTTTTATTATAAATATCTATGAAAAAATGTAAAAATTGACAATCATTTTAGTGTTGGTGCTAAGTGGATGAATTTTATCAAATAGTTGATAAATTAAATATTAAATTTTATTTTTTAAATATAAATTTATGACTTAAATGTGTATTTATTTTACCTTAAAAGTAAAAATTTTAAAAATTTATTTAGTAAAATAAATTTTTTTTATGTAATTTAAACTAATTTAGAATACACAATTTT